AGCTGGTTGCACGCTGCAACAGAATTGAATGTGAATATATTGTGAGAGCGGGTTGCACGCTGCAACAGAATTGGTTAAAATAATAATGGATTATGACTGCTGAGTTGGATTCAATTATTATAAATGAGTTACCTGATTTATTTCTATTATTTGTTGTTGTAACTAATATTGCGTACATGTTAATGTAAGTGAACTGCATTAGCCTCGTCACTACTTCGTCGAGGTTAGGCTCAGCATTTACTAGTATATGGGGTCGGTTGTACTGATACTACACTCTGCACTTCTTGTGCAGATTTTGGAGTTGGTCCCAGCGGCATACCATAGACTTGCTCGGATTTCAGCTACCAGAGGAGACTTGAGGTATAACTGCATGGCGTCCGCAGTTCTGAAGTCCCCGTCTATTTTACATTAGCTGTGTATTTATTTTCAGACAACTTTATTTTATTCAGACCTTTATTTGTATTTATTCTAGAAGCTCGTGCACTTGTGACACTAATTCTGGGATAGTATTTAGACACCGTTATTTTTATGGCTTATTTCACTATATTTCAAACTTTGCTTCCGCATTTGTTTTTTTGATTATTAATAATTTAAAGATTGTTTAAAATTGGTTAATATTATTCTAACATTGGCTTGCCTAGCAAGTAAAATATTGGGCGTCATCACGGTCCGAAGGTAAAAATTTTGGGTCGTGACACGAGGTGCCATGAGAATATGAAAGGGGGCTGAGACCCGTACTTATGATTATGATATAAGATATTTATGTGAAAGAGTTTTATATTCGAAGGATATTTATTTGAAGAATTTTTTTTGGAGGGTATTTATTCGAAAGAATTATATGTGAATGATTTATATTCGAATGACTTGATTAATTGGATATACTTGTGTTTATTATCCGTTTGAACAATATTTATGGTGTTCCTGTTGCCTTGTTGTTTATGTCCCAAGTTGACTATTGTTGCCATCATTGCTATTTGTTATTCTATTATTTTCGTATGCTATATTGCACATGTTATTTGACTAGTGAGTGTCTTGACTATACCTCGTCACTACTCCACCGAGGTTAGTCTTGATACTTACTGGGTACCGACTGTGGTGTACTCATACTACACTTCTGCATATTTTTGTGTAGAGCCAGGTATTGGAGATATCGGATTCAGACAGAGATTAGAGTGTGATCGCAAGGATTCAAGGTAGGGCTGCTTGGTCGTCGCAGTCCCCGGAGTCTTTCCATTTTTATTATACTGTCCACTCTTATTCAAACAGTATTGTATATTCGATCCTTGGGGATCACTGCATGTACTCAATTAGAGATTGTGACTCAGTATTACCAGTCTTGGGAAGGTGTTATAATTATTTTCGTTGTTGGTTTCGTTTACTAAAAAAATTTTATAAAAAAAATGGTTTGAATTGTAATTGTAATCGGCTTACTTAGTCTTAGAGACTAAGTGCCATCACGACACCTGTGGTGGGATTTTGGGTCATGACAGAGATAAAAAAAATAGTGACATCGAAATTTACGTGGCTCAGCCAATATGTTTGCTAGTAGAATGAATAGTTTCACTATATAAAGCGTATAGAGAACGAAATTAGATATCTCGCTCTACTTTACACACACAAAAAATACAAGAAAATTTCTCACAAATTCACTCAAGAAAATTTTTTATACAAATAATATTTCTCAAACTCACTTCTCTAATAATATCTCACAACTCTCTTTCTCCCAATATTGTTCTTACAACACTCGAGAAGAATTGATAAAAAATTGATAGAGAAAGNCCCCCCGGTTGGTGCTATTTCTAAATGTCTATTTTACCCCTACATATATGCCGTTATTACTCCATTTATCCTCTTATGTTCAAGAAAATAACGTTATTCTAAAACCCTTAGTTGAAATGCATTAGATCCTTCTAAATGTTGTGTGCTTGCCACTTTTTGCAAGTGTATTTCTGCCTATTGATTAATCCTTTATTACTTTAGTTATTCAGTACATTTTGTAAATATGACAAACTTTAAGTGCTTTGCTAATACCTAAAATGACGATCTTGATGACGTCAGAGGAGTAAAGATGCACACAACTATTTCTTTTTTGTTACCTAATGTGAAAGCTTTAGATCGTAATCTGATTGTGATTTACTATTTTACAAAATGAGAATTTAAGATATCATTACTATTAGATATCAAATTATCATTATTACTAGATTTCAAAGTTTGTACAACCATGTTTCATTTTTAGTTTGTGTTTGTCACATGAGCAAATTCAACTAACTTTTGTGTAATTTTGATTTAATAAAAAGTGGAGCTCCTATTTGTGGAAATAGCATGATAAGAAAAAGAGTATATTTGAAGTTATGCTTTGAAGTGTTATACATTGCGCATATATAATTGAATAATCTTTTTAAATTGACGCTAAAACAAAATACTTGAATTTACTTCTAACCACACCCCTAATGCCACAATGAAGGGTAAGTCTCATTCACGCATACCAATTACCATTGATTGTCCCTTGCACCATACTTCATAGTTCATACTCTCCTTTTCTTTTCTTTTCTTTTCTTTTCTTTTCTTTTCTTTTCTTTTTCAAAGGTACTCAAGACTTGATCTAAAGGGTAAATAATCAAGACTTGTTCTAAAGGGGTAAATAATGAAATTAAATGGTAAGATATGATGTCACTTAGAATAAGGAAAAGATTGATAGAGTAAATTGAATATAGTAATGACTATTATATTTTTACTAAACATATATTTACTTACCAAAAGTTTAAAAAATAAGATAAATAATATTTAAGTAACAAAAAACTCGAAAAACCCGATAAAATCAAACCAATCCAACCCGATAAAATCAAACCAATCCAAACCGATATAGTTGAATTGGTTTGATTTTGATAAAAACCAAACCAACTCGGTCGATGTGCACCCCTACTCAAAATTATGCACAATCGCTTGCAATGATGTTATAGATCAACCCAACATATTGTTTTATGACATTAACCAAAAAAGAAATCATGACTCTTACACTAATGCCTATGAAATTTTCATTTTTTTCAAAAAAGTTTGTTATGAAATTTTTTGGGATAAAGATGAGTGTTGCGACCAGCATCGTGTTTGAAGAAAACGAAGGGAAGCAAGAATAATCCACAATCAGATTCACAGAATAATGATAAGTTACTTGAGGATTACACAAAATTTAAGTCTAGAAACAGTAAAACCAATTGCTGGGTGCAACCATAGTCCAGAATACATTATAAATATCGCACAGTTACACCCTTCTCTGTGTTAAAACAGAGAATTGATCTTCCACCTGGTGATCGAGAGTCCCATGCATTGCAAAATTCAAAAACCCAGCAAAATCCCCCAATTAATGAAGCCCAATCCGACCTAAAAATTAGGAAAAAAGAGCAAAACTATTTGAAAGGGTGACACAATGGTATGGAAGCTCTGACCAAGTCATGAGGAAATTCAGATGTCTATGCAATGTAATATATCAGTTCTTGCCTCAAAATTCTTGCAATATAAAGTAAATAAATTATGGGAGGGCTGGTATACTCTAGGAGTCAATTGGCACAATGGTCGGATAAACAAGGATATCCCATGGAATTAGCCATCCCACCTTCTATATGGGATAGCCAATCCCACCATTTGTGTAAAACTTATCTTGGGACTAGCTAATACCTACAACCAAACATAGGATAAATACAATCCCAAATTTTACCCCACGATTATTATCCTTATCCCTTGTACCAAACGAGCCCTAAAGAATTATACACCAAAGAGATTGTGCTTTGTCCCCTCCATTGCCATGTCATTTCTACAATATGAAAGACATCAATTTTCTCATGATCTACACACATATGCATGCATTTACTGGCTCACTGCCAGTAGAATAAACTTTGGAAACCTGAAACCCCTCTCGCCAACGAACGATGACTATGACAGCTCAAGCTGGTTTAAGAGAGCCATCAATTACCCAGGCAGGCAAATGCTCGGTTAGCACTAGTTGAGGTCATCCTCAAACAAATCCTAGCTAAGCCTTGGCTAGACTATCCAAGGCTTAGGTTTGCTCTAATGGCAGAAACACTTTATTCCTCTCTACAGCTAATGTAAAACTACCTAAAGGCAAGTTAGTCCAACTAAAAGCTTCTCTTTTGTTTCTCTATGAATAAACACCAAGCACTGTCTCCAAACTCATTGGCAGGTTACATTTTCCAAATTATCTTTTCATTTTTCAATTCGTCCACAACAATAGCCTAGCAAAGTTTTTCCACTTTCTCCAGCAAAACATCACCAAATTAAACTACCTTCAACTTAAAATTCAGACCTAAAAAAGCAACAAAACAGAACAAGAGACTAAGCTACTCCTTACTAGTAATTAGTATCCTGGAAATGATACTCCAATTATGAGAAAACTTTAGCTATCACTATACTGACAAGTTCAATCCTCTACATTAATACCATGAATATAACTCAAAAACTAACTGAATTTAAAGTAAAACTAATTAGGAGCCACCAGTACCCTCGCAGCAACCAAACCAAAACCCAGTACGCCGTCATATTCTTGCTTCTCCTTTGCATTTCTTCACCATTGAGCTCCCCATTACCTCTTCTCCAAAAAAATTGTTTCTTTATTTCATTTCCTGTCATTCGTGCTTTCCTTTTATACACAAACATTCTAATAATATCCTTGGTGAATTCTAGTGTTTTTTCTTATGACTAAGAAATTGGTCTGGGGCCAACTCTTAGGACTAGCTGTAGCTTTCGAAACTCGGTGATAATGGACCTGCCCGTCTAAGCTTCTCCACTAAAATACAAAGCTTAGTTCACATGGCACAGGGCTTGAACAGGTTAATTCTACTAATGAGCAAAGTATATAGGAAAATTTGACCATACAAATTCTATTTTTCACCAGTGCTGCCCCACAAGTGAAAATCACATGCAGATTATTCAATGCATGAACGTAATCAACAAATACGACTATTAAACCAGCAATTAAACACCTAGAATTTACCAGAAATAAACTCATAAACCGTCATTCAATATATAAACTTCATTGAAATTAAAACACAACATGTTTCATCGCAGCATAAGCTCCTACCGAACGGAAAAACATAATTCGACAAGTTTTTTCATTAAAATGCTAAATAAAGCACCAATCTTCCACCTTAAAATCCTAGCTTGGTTCTACGCCAGTGCCTGCGCTTAGCATTGTACCTACAAAAACAAAATCAAATTTTCATTAGTGAAATGAACAAAATATAATATCATTAGTGAAATAAACATAAATCGGCCGAAAAAAAAATTAAAAAATAATAACTGCAAATTAATATACCTGATAGTGTTATCAGTCCTCATACGAATCCAGTAAGGAATGGGCCTGTTTTGCCTCTGCTTCTTCGCCAGCTTCTTCTTAATCATAAATGTCTTATGTGACGGCTACATAAAAAGAAATTGGAATTAAATCAGTAAACAAAATTACGAGCTTACATTTGTATTGATTTAAATAGTTCTGAGTAGAATCGTACCATTTTCACCGGTTGGAGATTCTCGGCGATAAGCTCTGTTGCTGCTTGAACGTTGAAACCCTTAGGAGAAACAAAAACCCTAATTTGTGAGGTTATATACTGATGCGACCCGAGGCCCAGTGGGTTGGAATTTATTTTTGGGCCAAACTTCGCAAATGTGTCAATTTAGGCCATTGTTTACATTTTGTAGCCGAAAAAATGTATAAACTTATATAATTTTTGTATATAACATACATAATGTATATATATACAAAAAATATACAAATTTATACATTTTTTCGGCTATTATTTTTACAACGTTATTTTTTCTTGAAATATTATGCAAATATAGCCCTTGACAACATTAAACTCGGGTCTGTCTGCTCATAAATTATTAGATTATGGTATAACCATTCGCAATAATTTATAAAATTTTAGATCGTAGTCTAAAGTTTTCTTATAAATTAATTAATTTGCTCAAAAAGGATTTTTAAACCGTGGTAAAAAAGGTCTATCAATTGGAAGAGAAATAAGAAGAAAATTATCTACTAAACCACTTACATAAAAAGGAACAATGACAAAAATTCCAAGAACAAACTTTTGTCTGTTGTTGACCCATGGTTTGATGTTTTTGGGTTCATAAAGCAAATAAGCCTCTGAAACCATAATAAATATTAAACAGGTGTTTGGATAATTTTGAGTTAAAATTGTAAAAATAATTTTAAATTGAAGTTGAATACAAAAAGATTGTAAGAGTTGATATAAACTTGAAGTTCAATAAATAGTGGAACCTCACTACAAAACATAAGTGGAAGTTGAGTAGTTGTGTGAAATATAGTGGAACCTATTTTGTTTGTACATTTAGAATTTTCAACCCCATACCTTAAAAAGAAATTTGAAAATTATAATATAATCCCATACCCAATAATTTGGATATAAACTCGGAGTTGAAAAATAGTGGAACCTGACTGCAAAAATATAAGTGGAAGTTGAGTATTTGTGTGAAATATTTGTGGGAAAGAGCTTATTATTATGCCGACTGTCTAAAAAAGAATGATAGTATCTACCATACAAGAGTCAAAAACATTTAAAAGTTTTTGTGTAAATCAGAAAATTATTTTCTTAAAATTTTAAATAAATTATAGATTTGAAGAATATAAAAGTTATATAACTTGTAATTGTTGCAGTTGAAAATATTCTCAAGAACTTAAAAACCACAGAAAATAATATTTCCCTGAAATAATAATATGCCAATAATTTCTCGTGACAAGATAGATAATTTCATAAGTTAATTGTTTTTATGTTTTTAATATGAATAACCAGTAACCAACATGTTAACTAATTGAGTACGATTAAGTGGACAAGATTTTGCTAATCTGTTTACATTATCTCAACGTGATATGAGCATTAAAGGAGTTGAAGAATCAATTGCTCTTATATAAAAGCACCAACGAGTTCAAATTTAAATTGTGTGTGAAAATTTCTTGAGAAGTAGTACCTTTCTTTGTTTCCTTTGGAATAGATCAATCTAGAAGAGATTAAACTTGTGTTAGTGGAAAATATTCTTCATATGCCACTACATGTTTACCGACGTATCGTCCCTCGGTAACAAGGCTTTCCCGAAGGAAGTCCGTCAGTAAATGGTACGTAGGTAAATCTTTTCTCGATAAAAATGACTGACAGAATCCTTCGGTAATTATCGATAGACCCCATAAATTGTCAAAAATTAAACCGTACCATTAACGTCAATTAGTATTAGTACCCGCGCGATGCGCGGACACAAATATTAAATTATGATCTGAGTTATTTGGATTATATGCAATTTACCTTAAAATTTAAACCCTCCGGATAAAAATTACATATAATCATTAGATATCAATTAAGAAGCAGGATATGAAACTGTTTCTCATATCTCGTACTGGATAACATATTTATTTTTTATATTTGTAACATCCTTGATCTTAGTACTTGCATTTATTATGTGGTCGATATTAAAGAATACTAAACATATCACGTTGTGCTTTGTCTTGTTTGAGCATATTATTTTAACAAAATTCTTACTACCACTTTATCTTTTACTTCAAAACCGAATAAGTCTTATCCTTCTACATTTTCACCATAAAAAAAATCTCTCTTTAATCTTTACTTATAGTTATTGCATTATTCATTACCTAACATTATTAAATTTTCATGTGATCTTTTAATTGACTTAATATCTTGCTTATTACCCTTATGATAATCATATATAAATATAGTTTTTTTATTCCTAAAAATTAATGTATTTTTATACATTTATCCTCTTACTTAGAACTCTTTTATTATTTAAATCTATCAATAATATTTTTGAGTATTATTTAATATACTTATCCTTAAATTAATTCAAAGTATAAATATTCTCACACTCTCTTTATTTTACTCTTTATATATTTTTACAACTATATGAAAATTTAATTAGTTTTTTATATTAGTATTTTCTCAATAATCAAAATATGTAATATCACATTTTATTTTAAGTCATAACTTTGAATCAGTCTAAAATATTGAATACATAAGTTTTTTAATTAGCAATTTTTAAATCTATTGTATTTTCTTATAATTAGTTTATATCACGTGCAATTAAAATTTCTTTCACTTTTAGTTTCAGGATAAAAGTTTAACTTTTATTTTCGTTACTAAATTATCTACACGAGACATTTATTTTGTATTCTTAATATTTTAATTTGTTATCCTATTATTATTTTTCTTTATCTAGTAAATCCTTAATTTTACGGTCATATTCATAGTTTGAGCATTTTTACCATAATTTTAATCTAATCTCAAGTTCAAATCATCTTTCCCTTCCATTTCTAATTTTAAATGTTTTTAAAATTTTAATTATTGCTATTACATTACCTAATATATATAGCATTTCATATTTTTATGTGGTCTTCATTAACTTTCCTCATTATTTAGTATCATTATCCATTTATGTCCTTTAATATAATATAGATCAATGTGTGATTTTTTTATCTTGATATAATATTAATTTTATTCTAAAATATTACTCGAAATTATTAATTTTTTTAATTTAATAATAATATTTTTAAGTACTATATAGTAAAATTTCTAATATTTGGGTTTACTTATTTAATATTAATTACTATATAGATAGATATAGATATAAATATAAATATTATCCAATATTTAGTATTATTGCATTGTTAATAGAAACTTTTATTAGCATATTATTTTATTTAAATTTTTGAAAGCTACTTTATTTTTATAATATAATAAAAGATATGTATTTTTTATTTTTTATTTTATTCTATGATTATCAATAATATTTTCTGAATAAATAAGCTTTTTATTTTTAAAAAGAAAAAAAAATTATTTAAAAAACAAAGAAATTTTAAATTGGCAGTTTTTTATTTTTTTTATTTTAAAATAATTTAAAAACTCCAACTTGAAACTACTCTCCAATTTGAATGGAATTTTTTTTTTTAATTTTCGTTTTTTATTAGAAAATATTTTATTTTATTATTTTATAGATAGTTAAATTAAAATATAATAACTAATAATTAATTATTAACTAAATAACTACTTATACCATGTGGCTTTTTTCTATACTGACACTTGGCTTAAGGGGAGGGTTGTTTCCTATCCTTTTAATAATATATAGAATAGATTATATGATTCTCAATAATATTTTCTGAATAAATAAGCTTTTTATTTTTAAAAATAAAAACTAAAGTATTAAAAAAATAAAGAAATTTTAAATTGACAGTTTTTTTATTTTTAGTTTTTTATTTTTAAATAATTTAAAAACTCCAACTTGAAACTACTCTCCAATTATTAACTAAATAAATAATTATTAATTACTTATGCCACATGACTTTTTTCTAGGGTGCCACTTGGCTTAAGAAGAGGATTTTTTCCTCTCCTTTTAATAATATATATTTTTCATGAAAATCGTAACTGGCAGTGAAGGTATTTACAAGAAATGCAACTGCTCCTTCAATGACATTAGAAGCGGACTCAGGATTCGAGGTCGCGGGGCACTATGACATTCAATATAAATTTATCATTAATACGTGGTCTATGTTAATATTTGACTATTTTTAAGACATTTGCAAGTATATATGGATTTTGCCGAAGTTTTCGGGTGCCCGTGACCCATTAACCTATAGTATAAGGCCGCCTCTGAATGACATACTTAAATTGTTCTTGGTATACATTCATGTATGTATTTATTTAATAATGGTATTGTCTGGATCAACTTGAGCACATCTCGCAGTTTCACTGACTACATATTACAGGCAGTTTCATTGACTACATATTACCTGTCACTAATCATATACTAGAATCTCATATGTTTTTTTCTGTTGTATAAATATCCTGATTTCTTTCAAGTTTTTACAAAGTGAAGGAAGATTCTTATAACACACAGAAAAAATTACAATGCCTAAAATCTTGTTAATTTTTCTAGCCATCTTTCTAACTGCTGGTACAAAGTTTCCAGTATCTTTTGCATCTCAAAATGCAACTACTGTTAAATCAAAGGTGCATGGTTAGCTGAAATAGCCTCTGTATCAAGCATTCCTTCTAAATATTTCACTCACATTTTCTATGCATTTGCTGTGCATGATGCTACATCATTTCAATTGCTCATAATACAATCTGATGAGCAATTTATGCTTAATTTCACAACCACTATTCATTCCAAGAGCCCTGAAATAAACACAATACTTTCAATAGCATGAGGTGTTAGTCCTGACACTCTGTCTAATACTTTCTCCCTATTGTTTCTTATCAGCCGTGTCCAGGACTTATCCTGAAAACGCCATAACAATAAAACTTGATTTCTTGATCCCTATGCGCTACGATTATCGTGGTGCTTGGAATACTTCTGTAACGACTCGGCCGGTTGTTTTGAGTATTACAACCCCGTTCTCCCATTTACTGCTCAATTTATGCTTTACAATTGTTATATGACTTGCCGGGGTGATTGGTTCGGGTCCGGTGAAGGTTTGGAATGAATTGGAACACTTAGTTCCAAGGTTTAAAACTTAAGTTGAAAAGGTTGATCGGATATTGATTTATGTGTAAACGACCCCGAAATAAAATTTT